AGCAACCCTACTCAGGTTCCTCCGCATTTTCCAGATGAAGTTTAACACAAACTCATCATGAAGCAACCCTACCCAGGTTCCTTGTCATAATTTCTATATCCAGTTTTACACTGACTCATCCTGAAGCAACCCTATCCAGGTTCCTTCTCATAATTTCCAGATGCAGCTTTACACAGACTCATCCTGAAGTAACCTTACCCAGGTTTCTTCTCAGACATTTTCAGATGGAGTTTTACATGGACTCATCACGAAGCAACCTTACCCAGGTTCCTTCTCATTTTCCAAATGAATTTTAACACAAACTCATCATGAAGCAACCCTACCCAGGTTCCTTCTCATAATTTCCAGATGTAGTTTGACACAGACTCATCCTGAAGCAACCCTACCCAGGTTTCTTCTCATAATTTCCAGATGCAGTTTTACACGGACTCATCCTGAAGTAACCCTACCCAGGTTCCTTCTCATACATTTCCAGATGCAGTTTTACACGGACTCATCCTGAATCAACCCTACCCAGGTTCCTTCTCATATATCTCTAGACACAATTTCACACTGACTCATCATCCCTAACCAGGCTTCCCTCACATATATCTCCTAAAGAATCCCTACACAAGCTCATCATAAAGTAATCTTACACAAATTCCTTCTAATACATTTCCAGACATGACTTAACAAGAGTCCATTCCAGCATATCATTCAGAGTTAAATCAACCAAAGATTTATTTTGACACTCCTCCCAGTTACAGTCAAGCTTAGACTTAGTCTAATTTTTGTCAACAATCACTTTAGATGGAATTTGTAAGCCCATCTCTGACAACTCTCCAAATGGAATCTTTAAGCCCATTCCCTACACAATCAACCACCACATTATCGAGTGCAAATTTCTGGACACTCTAATGTTGAATCATCTTCCACCTTCAAGTCACGAATGACGGACTCGCCAATCTAACTCTTCAGGTTTAAGAAGATTGAACAACGACAGCTGTTGTACCCCAAAATTTGCCCTCTCATTTTTCAAGATTTCTCTCGCATGTGTGGTTACAAACACCTGTTTGAAGAAATGAAGAAAATATTTTTCTTTGAAGATGGAAAGTTGTTACTTCGACTGGTCGAAGGAAAAGAAAAATGAAGATGTTAATGTGCCTTTCGGCAAGTCAAATAAGAGAAAGTTTGCTTTGAATCCACATTCTTCGATTGGGCATCTAGGCTTCCTTCAAGCAAGCTTGAGACATCTTTCGATTGGGCATCTAGGCTTACTTCAAGCAAGCTTGAGCCATCCTTCGTTTGGGGCATTGGTTTCATTCAAAGCAACCTGCTTCGAATCCACCTTCAATCTTGCTTCGAATCAACCTTCATGCACGCTTCGAATTCACCTCTAAGCTTGATTCTAACCCTCCTACATGCAAGCTTCGATCGCACCATTAGCCCCTTACATGTTTGCCTTGAGTCACAAAGCAGTGACCTCCTGCATGCAGGCTTTGACAGGGCATTGACTTTTCATGCAAGCTTTCGTTTGAGCAAAGGCCTCTTGCATGTTTGCTTGAAGTCACAAAGAAATGGCCTCCTGCAGTTCTCCTTCGACTCAGAAGCCATTGGTTTTGCATGTTTGCCAAACTCACAAGGCAAAATTTCCCTTTCATGTTAGCACCCATAATCAGGGACCTCCTGCATACACCCTTTCGTTTGGCCATGTGACCTCTGGCAGGCAAGCCTTTGATTGGACAAGAGTCACCTTCACATAAAGCTTCGATTGGAGTTTTGGTTCCCTTTGAATCAGCATACTTCGAATCCAACACTGGATCCTTCGAGCAAGTTTGTTTGAAGAACATTGAGCAAATCTCATAGCCTTATCCTCCAAATCTCACTTGTCAGACTATGTTGCTTCCAAATCTTTACATAATCAGAGGCTTACATAAAGGTTCAAAGCTTTGTCTACTGGATAATACTATTCATGGATAAAATAGCAAAAAGCAAAGTACCCTTTTTTCATAAAGAGTACTTTAGTCACAAAATCAACTCCTAATCTGATTTTTTTCTGAACACAAGCAATGCCAAAAGCATAAGTCAAATATCCTGCTCCCAACAGACAGCAAGCCCCCACTTGTACTTGAAACTTGGGAATAACGAAAGGGATCAAGTTTGTTTTCGTTTGAACCAGACCATGGTTTATTATCCTACAAACCTGGTTACTCTAGCACCTCTAACCCTTTCTCTATAAGTAGATAAACATTTGCAAGCTGAAGAGGACTTTTGGGTGGTGTGGAAAGAATCTTCAAAAAATCATCAAACTCTCAAAAAACACTTAAACTCTTAAGATTCTCAAACACTAAACAAAAACCCAGAATCTAAAGAAACACAACACTTGTTTTTTCTTCTCTTTCGAATCTGAAGCAATCCCCACACTTTGTTTTCTTTCGAATCCAGTAGAAAGAACACTACAGTTGTTCTTCTCCTTTGAACCCAGAAATAACAAACACCACCCTCACACCATCTGACCTTCGAATCCAGTCAAAGAAACACCTCACATGTTTCTTTCCTTCGAATTCAGGAGCATCTAGTCCAATCACTCAAGGACAAACACACATTCCAGCTTCAAGCAAGGTAAGTCACTCTGACCTTAAACTCTTTGTTTGAAGCATGTACATAAAATTTGTTTCCTTTTCATTTCCACCTTTTCAGTTTGTTTTTTCATTGCTAACCTTTTGGTTTTGTTACTTGGTTTATCAAACGTTTTTTAAGAACTAACCTGGCCATGAGACAATACTAACATGGCCTCAGGCCATGTTACTATTTAAATCTCAAACGAAAGAAAACAAGAGTAAGGGTGTGTGAATCGAAGCCTTTGGCTTCACCCCATGCTACCATCTGATCCCAAATGAAAAGAAACGAAAACAAAGGTGGTGTGAATCGAAGGTTACAAACTTCGATACACACTGATTTCCAGACCCATTCGAAAGAAGCAAGAGATGTTTAAATCGAAAGATGCCTACTCACCCTAACATTCTTGCAATCGAAGGAAGCAGAAAGGCAGAATCGAAAGCTGCCTGCACATGCTGACTTCCAAGCCAAATCGAAAGGAGCCAGAAGAGCAGAATCGAATGATGTTGCTACCTAAATCGAAAAGCTCATTTTCCTTTCTTTATTTTGTTTTGTGTTTATATTTTCTTGTTATTCAATATGGTTGTAATAGTGTAGGATATTTATTTTCTGCATTTTTATTGCTTTTGTACAAATGTTAGTAATTAGAATGTATGGCAAGATAAAACCAACAAGTAGATAACCCAAAAATCAAAGACAAAATGCATGCAATCAAACACACTATTCACACATGCACCTCTAGGGTAATCTCACTTGTTGCCTCGGAAAAATAGTCATGTCCCTCGAATATGGGCGTTTTAGCAAAGACCCTCGATAAAATATCGTAGTCCCTCGATCACCCTCGATGTTGCCTTCAGTAAACGATCTAGTCCCTAAATGACATTGCTAAAACGTCCCATAGGTTGCATTCTATGACTATACAAATGATCTATGCCCGTCCCTTCACATCTAACGATGGGGCTTCTTATCAAATTAATGGTAAGATAGTAACATCTAAAGGAGGAGGAAAAGAACAAAGACCTTTTGAGTAAGTAGGATGTTCATAGTTGCTCGCTTGCTCACAACAAAAACATTTTTCCACACCAATACTTTCAATTGAAATATTTTCAAAAGACAAAGCTCTTTGTATGCATTCTTATAGAGACGAGAATCATTACAAAGACACTTTTCAAAATTCCTTTCGAAAACATCTTCCACAAACACCTTTTTGAACTATTTTCAAAAACCAATACTTTGTACGTGTTCTTATAGAGACGAGAATCATTACAAAGATGTTTTTTTCAAAATATCTTCAAACCCACACAACAAGCACATTTTCAAATAAAAGCAAGTGATCTAGCAAGCAACTAAGAGCCCGTAGATAACTACAGATGAAAAGGGGGCTAACACCTTCTCTTTTCATAACCTACCCCCCGAACTCAAGAAATAATCTCGAAAGGTCTTTCCTATTCTTTTCAACCTTTCCTTATTGGATAAAAAAAGTCGGTGGCGACTCTTGCTATCCGCAATAATTGCGATCAAACACAAAACACCCAAGTCAGTTCTCCCACCGTGTTACACTGACCATTAACCAAACCAAGATTTTTACCAAGTTGATGTCAAACTTATCGAGTTTTAGTTGTCATCGTCAAAAACATGTTGTTCAGGGTTTTTTGACCAGTACTTCAATTAACCTGCAAAACACGGTACCACACATATATTGCTGAACTTTGGGATGTGTTAGAAAAATTAAGATTAACTAAAGAGCTTGGGTTTCGACTTATTGAGTTTCATATAAATTTTGAAGTGGTTGTTCAAAATATTTTGAATTTTAGACATGGTATTGTAATTCGAATGCGATTGGTGCAACAAATTCAACAATTATTCAAGATGAATTGGGAGGTGCAGGTTTGTCATATTTAACGTGAGTAGAATCGTTGTGCAGATGCACTTGCTAACATAGAGTATGACCTAAGTTACAATATAATATTCTATGAACAATTTTTTGCTTAAATTTCTCTAACAAATTGTATTAGAATTAGGGTTGAAAATGAGTCGAGTCGAACTCACCTCAATTCGACTCGACTCGTTTAGAATTAGTTCACCTCAGATCTCGGTTCGAGTTTGACATAAACTTTTTTTAATTTTAAACTCGACTTATTATAAGTTCAGGAATAATTCGATTTAAATCATTACCTTCAATTCGTTTGTTTCACGGACTTAAAAATTGATAATGAAAAATAATTTTATAAAAAAAATAAAAGTATTTCTTTATAAATCGTTTTTAATCTTCTTAAAAATTAAAGTAATATTTTCTTTTTATTAACAAAAAAATACTTTGGTTAAACAAACCTATCAAATTTCTAATAGCTGTGTATGATTAGATTAGGGTTTGCACTTCGGAACTCTGAATTCTCTGCGGCATGGCAAAGAAGGAGAAGTCGAAAGCCAATGCAACAGAGCACGAACAAGACGGCGAAATCAACGACAACTTCGACGGCGCTTCCACGCCATCACTCATGTTCAGCAGCGATGATGACGATGAAGAAGCCAATCAAGATCTGAGTCTCAGAATCGTGGAAAAGGCCCTACGAAACCGAGAGGCGAAGCTTGCACCAAACGACGCCGTTTTGAACAGCATCGATTCTTCTCTGGATTTTCCATGGCAGCAATCTGAATTCAAGGTGAAGCAAACCGACGCCGTTTTGGATGGGTCGAGCGGGGTTGCTGCTTGGGAAGTGATGGAAGAGGAGAAAACCACGAAGTTGATGGTGGACTCTGGTGATTCAAGTGTACGTCTTATTCTGTGTTTGCCTTCTTCTAATTTATTGAAAAAAATGTTCTTTTTTTCTTCTTCTGTTTTTATTGATTTTATATGGAATTGAATTTTCTTAGTGATTTTCGGTGATGGGTGAGATACTTTGGATTTTATTAATGCTTTTCCTTTTTCTGTAGGTTATTATAGCCGCAGATCAAGAGGTGGAGGAGATAATCAAAACTAGAGGGAACACTGAGTCTGGGGATCTGGAAGCAAGTCCGGTTCAGATAGGCGATAACGTGGTTCTGCGAAAGCTGCTTGTGAGTTGATATATTTGATCTGAAATGTGATTGATTTTCAAAATACTGTAAGCTGAGGAATGCTTAGTTGGGTATATCACTCCATGTTTCTTTTATACCAGCGGGGTCCGAGATATTTTGACCCTCCAGATAGTAGTTGGGGAGCATGCTATAATTGCGGGGAGGAAGGTCATGCTGCTGTAAACTGTACAGCAGCGAAGCGGATGAAACCGTGCTATGTGTGTGGTGGTTTGGGACATGCTGCAAAGCAATGTACTAAGGTATGTTTGCTTGCCTATTGGCTTCTGAAGGTTTGAAAGTGTTTATACTGAGATCTGCTTGATGGTTCTGTAGACGAATTGCTATATATGTAAGAAAGGTGGCCACCGTGCCAAAGATTGTCCGGAGAAGCACACTATGGTTCGGGTTCCTAAAAGCTTAACGGTATGCTTGAAGTGTGGGAATTCTGGGCATGATATGTTTTCATGCAGGAATGATTATTCACAGGATGATCTCAAGGTTGTTCTTTTCTTTTTTGTCATATATTACAAATTTGCTAGAGGTTATTGGTTTAGTTTGCATTAGAATAGTGCCTTAAATTGGATATGAATGGCTCAGTCAGTGATTCTTTTCTTTCTTTCTTTCTTCTGTTCAATTAGGAGATTCAATGTTATCTATGCAAGACATTTGGCCATTTGGGCTGTGTCAATACCATTGATGCAATACCGGGAGAAATTTCTTGTTACAAATGTGGTCAGATGGGTCATACTGGTTTGGTAAGTTATATTTAAGTAATGTTATTTACACGCCTTTTCGGTGATAAGCATCTCTTGTTGTACTCTACTCCTCATATATGACTCAGTCTCTCTTTACAAGGGAGATTTTATCTGTTCTTTTGATCAATGCTAGTTATGGTATAACATAACATTAGGAGTTCATATTGAGAATGAGAACTATAGGCTGAAGTGCTGAACCATTGAGAACTTGAAGTTAAATGGGTCATTTTAGGCATAACTAGTTATATGATATTAATAATTCACAATTAGATATTCCCTAAAATGAATGGATGCTGCATCATAAGTAGCAAGTGCATGTACATCTTGTAATCATCACCAAAATATCTCATTCCATAGTTATTTAGACATGCTAATTTTTTAGATATAAAATTCCAGCGACTAAGATTGAAGAGAAAAATATGTCATATAATATTAAGCACCCTCTCCAGATTTTTACTGTCCCTATTCAATGATTATCAGTATTCATAACCATCCTTTTGTAAGGTTAAATCTTGCCATATTTTTTATTTTATTCAAGTAAAAGGCTGTATTAAAATTACATGACTATATTACATTAACTTTATTAAAAAATAGTGAATTCAGTGAGAGCTGAAACTTTGAGGGGTTGAGTTTGAATGTAATTCTCTCAACTAAATCTTTATGGATAATTTTCAAAATCTTTGACCCAACACATGAAATGCTTCCTTTAAAGTAAAACTATTGGCAAATATAATTTGAGAATCAATTGATGCAGGCATGTTCAAGGTTGTACGGTGAGAGTACTGGTGCTGCCACACCTACTTTATGCTATAGGTGTGGTGAAGAGGGGCATTTTGCCCGAGAATGCACAAGTTCTATCAAGGTACTTTTCAAAAATATATCGTAAAGTTACTAAAATTATACAGCTGTTTGCCTTTCATTTTTCATGTTCATTTGTGTCATAGAATAAGTAGTTTCGTGACTGCTGTGTTTTCTTCCACAGGCCGGGAAGAAGAATAGAGAATCTTGGAACACAAAAAATAGAAGTCCTCATAAAGAAAATGATTACAAGGGGCATTGGTCTGCACCTCATGATATGGGTAACATGCACAAAAAGAAACGGTCTCTTAAAGACGAAAGAGGCCTTACACAACCTAAGAAATCAAAGAGAGGTGGCCGGACAAGGGAGCTTCCTTCAGAAGAAAGAAGCTTTACAACCCCCAAGAAATCAAAGAGTAGAGGTGGCTGGATGAGGGAGCATCCTACAGAAGAAAGAGTCTTTACTACCCCCAAGAAATCAAAGAGTAGAGGTGGCTGGACGATGGAGCATCCTACAGAAGAAAGAGTCTTTACTACCCCCAAGAAATCAAAGAGTAGAGGTGGCTGGACGATGGAGCATCCTGCAGAAGAACGTGACTATAACACTCCCATGAAATCAAAGAGTAGAGGTGGCTGGACAATGGAACACCCTGCAGAAGAACGTGACTATAACACTCCCATGAAATTCAAGAGCAGAGGTGGCTGGATGACTGAGCACCCTGGAGACTTCTCTTCTTCCAAGTCCAATAGGAACAGTAGGATGTATGCAGCGACACCATATGCTAGAAGCACTAATGTGCATGCGAGTGGCAGTGGAAGTCGAACTCCAGGTTGGAGTTCTCAATCTTCTAAGGCGTGGAATGGTCAACATTCTGAAGCCTCAAATTCCGCTTTCCAACATAGATACTCGTCATCAAGGTTTGGCAACTCTAATGATGATGGATACAGGAGGAGTAATTTGGCATCAAGGTTTGGCAACTCTAATGATGATGGATATAGGAGAAATCGTTGGTGGTAGCTTTGGCTTTCACGTTCTTATTAGTTCCATCTGTAAACTTATAGAATTACTCCTACTTGCAAGTTCTTGAAATTAATAATAATCAATTTTCCATATCAGCTCATTCAATACAATTGTCATAATTCTGTCTATCCGTTGTGAGCAGACAATCTTCACTGGTGGTACTTTTTATCACTGCTTTCAAAATCTTCAATGAGAAGTAGCAGGGTATGTTTTGAACCTTGTCCTTTTACTAAAGGACTTGTACCATGTTTATTTTCTTCTCTTTATTCTCATGTTAGTTATCAGGTAGTTTGGAGGTTGTTAGGTTGTCTTCTGTTAAGTTTGTTAGTTTATCCGCTTAATTTAGTTTGTTCGTCAGCAATTCCTTTGTACAGATGTTTTAGCCATTGGCTCTACAATGAGTTCTTTTCAATCAATCTGTTATCTATCGTTTTATGGTATTGAAGCTCTTCCAAGGGCTATTCATACCCAATCACTCTTAATCTCCTCTTCTATTGCTCTTCGCACGGATCTGTTTATCCATGAAGGGTATACCAAAATTATATCGAAATGTCTATGGGAATGAGATCTTATAATCAAGACTTTGATTGAGAGAGAAGTAAAATCTTGGTTTAAGCATGAGTTTAATTAGAGTTCTCCCGAATAATTTGTTTATAATTGAAATTTATTATTTGCGTTCAATCACCGGATTACGGTAAAAAATTAATTTTAAATATCTTTTTCATTATCCACTTTATTATAAGATTATTTTTTGGGTGAAAATTTCGTTTAAGTTATTCCAGTAGTTTTTCATCATAATCATATTCCGGACATTTTTAGATTATATTTTAAAAGAAATACGTAAAAAGTACTCCCTTTGGTCCACTTTATAATAATAAATCTAAAAAATCTAGAAAGTAATTTTTTATTTATAAATATGACAAGAGACGTATTTTTTTAAAAATGAAAACATTTTTTTAATATGGTGCGTTGTTTCATACTGTTTTCAAAGCCTTGTGCCCAATAAACCAATACAAAAATAATAAAAAATGACATTATCCAAACATATTTTATCTTTTACAATATCTGTCTATCCTAATTTCCTTCCACTCACATACACTGCAAATGAATGGAGCTTTGACAAACACTTTGAGGCATACCAAGCAAAACATAGCAAGGTTCAATTTTTGAGAACTATATATTAAATTATCATTGTCAAAGTAACCATGTCTTGGTCCCTCTCTTGTGCTACCACAAAACCATCTTTGAAGTTCCACAGTTGCTTGAAATATCAACAACAGAGACCAAATATTTCAGTAACACATATAAGGTGTGAATCAAAAGACTCACCAGAGGAGAACAAGTTTCTTGAAAAACGTTCAAAGCTGGAAAAAGGGTCTCCCATTATTATCATTGAAGCTCCAAAAATGATCAAAACAGCAGCTTCTGTCCCTTGCCTCAAAGTTAATTCTGGCTTAGTCAAACCTGGTGATGTTGGAAGGTACTTCACCTTATCTCTTAATCTTTCATTATATTAATTATGTATTATGTATACTTAAAATGAAAATCTTGTAATCAATTGTATATAACTCACTTGGTGGATGCAGAATTGTGTCAAGAAAGCCAATGGATGTGTGGGCTGTGAGGTTGAGCATTGGAACTTATCTTATTGATGGCAAATATTTCAAGCCCTTAGATCTGGCTGAGTATAGTTAGTTGGATATATATAATAATCATAGACAAATTGTTCTTAATTAATTTGTGGACTTTGTTGTATAAATTAGTTAAGCAAAATATTAAAATTCTGGTTTGTCTATTCTTTTATATTAGTCAAATATCTGTGTACTACTCAATTATACTCAAATGTATATTGAAGACAATATTTATGCATATTTTATTGCTTGAAGTTAATTAGTTGTGTTCCACGCCATATCATAAAATATTTCAATAGCATTTTAAACATTAGAAAGAACTATTTATTAACATGAGTGTAATGTTGTGAACTTGATAGTATCTATATAGTTGATAAAAGACATGTGCATGAAAAAGGATTGCAATAGAATTTAATGTTTTGAAAATTAGCATTGCAATACATGGTATTAAAATGCATATTGAAAGCACCAATGGTTAGTTGATCTAGTGGTAATTGATTTTGTACATCATTCCGTGATTGAATATTTTCTTATAGATACTTTCCTATACTTTTTTACATTCAATACACTAAATTGGTGAATCTCAATTGCAAGAATTAGAGAGTATAACTCAAAAGTGAGGTTATATTAGATAATTATGAAATTTAAGGAAAATTGGCCACTTATTTTTGTTGTATATGATGTGCATGAGCTTTAGAATTGAATGACACGTTCATAGTCTAAATAGACGCCTTTGTCAATCTTTGCGTATGATTGTTGCTTCACTTTTCAAGCCAGTTTCTTCATAGTTTCAACAGTACTATTTAAAATTTTATAAAATACTATTAAACTCTAGAAATAATAAAGCCAATTGTATAAAATAAATTTTAAAATTTCTATGGTATAAAGTTTAGAACAATGTTATTGTATATAATATATAAAAAATTTATTATTTCACAACCTCAATTCTCCACACTTGTCAAGAATGTCCGTTACTTGCATTGGTTTGAGCTTCACTGTAAGATAAACTATTTTGATTTAATTAAAAAAACTACAAGTATTTGAAAACAACAGAAACGAAACACAACAAATATTACAAGCTCAGTCCACTTATAAACTACACACTCAATATATAAAACAAACATCTATATCATTACCATGTTATGTTGCCTGTATTGATAGAAAATACACTTTAAAACGTATCTGCTGTTATTAACGTTTTACAAAACTCATCTAAATATTATGTATGTAAAAGTCAACTCTCATTTATTTCAGGTACACTCCAATAATCTTCCATCTAGTTCCTGTCATACAAAAGTTGAATTGGATCCAAATAAACTACACAAACCACAAGAGATGTTAGAAAATAAATATTAATAATACATGAATTGCTCCATTTACTTTTTTACATTCATTTGTTTTCGAAAGACTTCCATATTCAAATAAAGTGATAGGCTGTTATTTAATAAAAATATGCAGCAACAAACATTTCAATTAATAAAGTTGCATGGACAACTAAATTTAATAGATAAATAGATACTGCTGCAAGTAAATAACGAATCCATAAAATTTCATGAGGAAGAAAGTTAATGCTCCAAGTTATGTATGTGACAACATGAGTAAGTTAACCATTAAATTGGTTTATCAGATTCTTGTCGAGTATCGAAAAGTAACATCGTAAAATGTCAAAACTGAAAGGGATTTGCAGTTCTAGGCTTGGTAGTGTGTATCGAAAATCGGTCATGGTCTGGCATTAAAAGTGACATTACTACAATATTGGATGTTGAGTGTTATTGCTTTGGATGTAATTCCGTTGTTATAGCCATAAAATATTATAAGAAGGACAATATGAGCATGCTGAAGTGACTACATACACTGACAGTGATTTGTATTTAATAAAAGTATTGGACAATTGCATTTATGTATGAAACACCATCATGGTTCCAGTCTCAAATGTAATTTATGTTATTATAAAAGGGATAAAAACATCATGTATGTAATATAAAGTACGACACATGCATGCATTTGAATTCTCTACATGTTGAATCATTATTTATTTTAGGATTAAATAAAATTTTGATCTATTTAAATATCTTAAATTTTGTTTTTAATCTCTCTAAATTTTTTCTTTAAAGAATGATTTTTCTAAATTTTTTTTTAATAATTTTTGGTCTCTACTGACAGAATCGTAACTAAAATGATCTATAATCCCGTGTCGTTAAATGAAAACCGTCGCTAAGTTGTAAAAACCGTCGCTAAATTGCAAGAGAGACCAAAAGTTAAAATTTAATTTTTTAGGAGAAACATTCTCTAAAAGAAAATTCTAGAGAGACTAAAAACGAAATTTGAAATATTTAGAGGGACCAAAAATTTATTTAACCCTTTATTTTATAACATGTAATAATAAAATGCCATATTTTAGATGACATAGACATTCGCTATTGAGGACTATTTTCATGGGATCCTTATGTTAAATCTTGGAACTTAGAATTGTTATACCTTATTCATCAGTGACACAATTGTATTACTCAAAGCAAAAGTATTACTCATATTTATGTTATCATATTTATTTGTTATTGTTGATTCCAGATTTTGAAATATTTATCACCGAAGAAATTACCAAGTTGAGTCGCGGACTAGGTCGCGCTCTCTTTAAGACGTTTTGCGACACTGCTCAAAATTATGCAAAGTCCGCGCCGCTTCCAAGATAAAACAACTCAGTTTTATACTGTACGATTACTACTTGCATGGTAGATAATCGGTCTAGAAATATATCATCTGATGTCAAATATGATATCAACACCACTCGTAGTATCTGGTACAAAGACCAGTCATAATAATTTCTCAAACTAAAAGAAACTCAAATAATTCTCCAAAGAGAAATTAATAATGATCATTTGACCACAAATAATAATTTCTCCAACAAAGAGAAATTCAAATAATTCTCCAAAGAGAATCCAAAAAATTAAACTTGAAAATTTCTCAACTCAAATGAGGAGAAATTAACATAATTCTCTAAAGAGAATTCAAGAAAATACTCGGAAAATTCAACGAGTAAGAAGAAAGGGGAAGAAGATGACGCTTCGACAATTCGGGAGACGCAAAATTATGAGAGTGGGGAAGGAAAAACTAATAGAATAGTTTTGGTGTGATTTGGAATGAAACATGTGCACTCCTTATATAATGAACTAAGATAGTTAATATTTCTCACATGAGCAATGTGGGACTAAATGATTTTTTTCAACCAAAAAGATATTCTAATAATGTGGGACTTGAGAAAATTTTAAATTCAACATATTAGAACATGGACATGTTCTAACAATCCCCACTTGAATTTAAAAAAATTGATTTTAGAAGTAACGTCAAACGTTTCTAAGATTGGGCATA